CTATGCAGTTCTCATCACAGGGAAAATCAAATTTTAAGGGATTCTATATAGGTTGATATATGTAAGATCTTCACCGAGTCTAAGAGCATAATTCTAATACCACAAAGGCTTATTTAACAGTGAGTTTTGAGAATAAGCTCAACTAGAAAGGGCAAATTCCCCAAATCTCACCCTCACTGGTTTGATCTTTCTATACCCTAGATGTCTATACCTGTTTGCCCAGGTTAGGACAAACCCACACTTCTATGGCTTCTGAGATCTACTCCCTCCCTACTGAGAGAGGGATGATCTGATCATTGCCTGAGAATGAGTCAAGGTTAGTTTCGCAGGAGCCCAGTACCTGGTCCCGAGCACCCCCAGACACTAGGTATATGGGGGAGGTGGTGAGATGTGACGGTGTATAAGGTACCAGCCCAGCAGCTACAAATGAAAAGGATGCATAAACGTCAATGAATGGCAAATACATGACTGTTTTGCCATTAAAGGGGAAATCGGATAGCAACTGGAGACACAGAGGATTTCAGGGGGAGGGCGGTTTTATACTCATCTCTTCCTCTTTCCTTCTTACTTTTTTATTTTTGGTTGAAAGCCTTAGCCTTTTCTCTTAACCAGAAGAGGATCTGCCAGCACAAAGTCAACAAACTCACAGGAGACAAAAGACATTCTTGGTTTGATTGCTCCTAATAAACTTCAGTGCTTCCAGACCACATAATGTCATAGAATTATTTGTAATGCTTCTTTAAAAGGGTGACAGAGTTCAGAAATAAACTGCACATGGTAAGAAGAGCCTCCCATGGGTTATCCCTGCAAAATGAGTTGCAAGGCTTTGGGAGTGGTGGTGGTTTCCGGCCATTAGCATTACTAATCAAGGCCAGCTTAGCATTTATGGGAATCTATACAAATCAGAATGATACATGTTATGTTCATTCAAACAGCCCTGCCTAATTTCTTCAAGGTTATGCTCAAACAAAACTTTCCTCCAATTATCTTTGATTGGAATGCTTCATTATTTTTATAGATACTCCAGATAGTGTCCATGAAGTAGACACATTCAGCCCATGGGTCACAAAATCATATTTAGTGCTTAAAGCCCACATAAAGCAATTACTGTCAACTCTCAATTAACCTTGTTATTGGAGGAAGCGTTAGTGGAGAAAATACAAATCCTAGATAACCTACTTCTGTCTTTCTTGCTGCCATAGTTGCAGTTGAGGTGAGAGGGAGTGAAGAGAGAAAGAGAGCTAATGGGCACAACAGGAAAAGCCTGGGCTAAGAGGTCTCTTCAGGCAAATCTGAGTAGAGGTGAGAGGTTTAGCCACTCTGCTCACTTTTTGAGCCCTGCACTAGGATGAAAAAAATCACATTGCTTTCCTAGAAACTTCTAATTGACAAACAAAAGGTAGAAGGCAGAAGAAGCCAGCACAAGCCGTAGGGAGGCACACCAGGTGGGCAGTCACCTGTCTCAGAGTTAGGAGACCTCAGGACCAGAAGAGGCTCTTAAAAGAGAGGATGCTCTGACCTTTCTCTTTGGAAACCAAAGAGAAAGCCACACCTGGAGCTATCTGGGCATAGGGGGAGGGCTCAGGTGTTTTGTCTTTTAAGCTATGACTGTGTCTGCCCTCCTGGTGACACAAAGGGTTAAAGCACAGTTCTGTGATGTTCTCCATGGCCTCTGCAGAATGAGATCAATCCCGTGGCAAAGCCAGAAATGTGACCCACATAACACAACAGACCTCTCCTGACCTGCTGGCTGCTCCCCTCCGATTTCTTCAATCTATCTGTTCTGCTCCCTACTCTGTCTCTGGTGAATCCCCTCACCCTGGCACCTCTGGCCTATATCTCAGTTCTTGTCTGCATAATTAAATATATCTTAAATATATATATATATATATATATATATGACTGTGTCAAGGTCATATGAAGGTGTTTCATGCAAATACCTGAATCATTGGCACACATGATAAGCATTCTTACACTAGAGATACCTACAGATAGACTTGTAGGCCCATCAGCGGCTAGGCATTAATGTTATTCCATCCCTCTGATATAATGAACCCTTAGGACCAGACTCCTCTCTCCCATGTTACAGTCCTGGAAAGGGGGAAGGTGATGCTCTTCAAAGAATTCCTAGTGGCAATGATCCAGAAGGGTTCTCACAAAGCAAGCAAATTTTAAGTTATAAAGATAAAGCAACAGTGGCATTCTAGACCCTGCTGAACAATTTAAGGCTATAGGGGTAGGGGAGATCCAGAAAGTTCTGAAGTCACAGAAAGATAAAGGCACAATGCAAAGGAAAGCTGGGGAATCATATTAGGGAACAAGAGGTGAAAAAAATCACAAAATAATGTTTTGATAAAAAAAAATCTGGGTTCAAAGTGCTTATAAGGAGTCAAGCTCATCCTTTATAAATATTATTTTGCAAATAATTAATAGGCACTGAGAAGAAGGTACTGATTAGATTTTTTCCTTGGAAATTAATATCTGTATTACAGTGGGGAACCAGATAGACCGTGAATAATAAGTCAAAGAAACGGAAATAGTGAAAAGAGTAAGAAAAGTTCTGGAGAACATGAGTGAAGTTTCTTTTTTTTTTCTTTTTTTGCATAGAAGAACTGGGATGTAGGCCAGAGATGCCAGGGGTGAAGGGATTCACCAGAGACAGAGTGGGGAGCAGAACAGGCACTGAAATACACTGCTGAGGGGAGCAGCGGGCGAGACAGGACAGGTCTGCTGTGCCATTATCAGTCAGCTCCCTGGCTGGGGATGGAACTCAGGCCTTAGCAGTGATAATGCTGAGCTTAACCACTAAGCCACCAGGAAGGTTCCCCAGGAATTTTCTTAATGAAAGAGCAAGAGAAAACAGAATAACTTCCAAACCTTCAGGGCGGGGTGAGGGGGGAGGAAGGCTAATAACTATAAAAGGAAAGTGACTCATAATAACAGGGAACATTATGAAAAATATAAATATTGACTATAAAATATCAGTTGGGTAGAGGAAAAAAGAGGGTAAGAAATTAGTTATGCTGCATGTCTCTGATTCATAATTTATTCTCTAGATTCTGTGAAGTATAACCACCAGGAAGGCCACTCACAGGTGCAATGAAGCAGTGATGTTATGACTTATAGATACAAAGTGGGGGTGGGGTTAGAGATATTTTAATTATATTTTGTCTTTAAAAACACGGGGAAAGCAAAAATCATGACTTATGGAGGAAAATATCAGAAGTAATCAAACAAACAAGTAGATCCCTATTCTTTTTACAAACATGGACAAAATTCAGGACACTGAATTTCATTTCAGGACACTGAAGTGACAGATATCTCAAGTTTCAAGCAGGTGCAAAAAGTTTCCGGCCAAAGCAATGTCAAAAATGTCTAGAGGGCATGTGGAATAAGCCTTTGATGAGAGTGACAAGACTCATAATTTAAGCCCTGGAGACACAGTTTGACACCACATAACAGAAGGAGAGGCGGAGCTAAGAAAAACATGTTAATATTGTAATCCTTTTTACTTTTGTATGGTGTTACTATTGTATTATTCTGTTCAAGGAAGACTTCCAGGAAAAAAAAAAATGACAAGCCTATAGAAATTCCTAGGAAATAAGAGGTAAAATGAAACAGAAAGACTGACTTTCTGGAGAATTATTTCATGCAGAAATTATACATTTTACACTTGATGTCAAAGGGAATTTTCTGTTATATTACTCTTATGATAGGAAGCATTTGAACTATATAAGGCAAAGTCAAAAGGAAATATTAAATAATAAGTACAGTATTTGATTCTGTTATTTTAAGGAATAAATTTGGGATGGCAACCTGAACACACCCTTTGGGTTTTCAGAGTGTAAAGACGAGAGAATGAGAAGAGAGCAACCAGATTAAAATACTTCCCTGGCGGTGTTAAGAGCCAAGAGTTGGGTTATTTTCTCCAAGAAAATACAACTCAATACATACACTAAGCAATCAGGGACTATCTGGATGCCTACCGATTAGACTGGCAAGCATGGAGAAGCTCCTGTGAGCTCTGGTTCTGGCAAATACGAGTAAGTGTCATTGGACGGACTTAAAAAAAAAAAAAAAAACTTTTGACTCTTCCTACAATGGACTTTGAAGTAGCGGTACATGTGCCAGCTCAGAGCCCTTGGGCTTTAGTTTTTCCCAGAATCAGCTCGCAAATGAAAGACCTGAAGTTGAGTACGGTTGGGTTGCACATTCTTACTTATCCTTCCAATTGGACACTTCCAAGAGTTTGCCCCTCCCTCTGGCCAGACACAGGTAAAATCTCCAGACTGTATGAAGTGCTGTTTCTTTAAGAAAACAGTGGTTCATGCACAGAGGATGGATGATGGACTCGTGGAGGCAGTAAATAAGTGATAGAGGAAATCTCATGAAAGTCAGAACAGACCCAAACATTACGCAGCATTTGCTTAAATGACACTAAGGGCATGGCTGGGTAAGAGAACAAGTAGAAGCCATTGCTGATTTCCCCTCTCAAGGTCAAAAAATACTAGAATGGCATCAGACCCCAGAACTGCACATTTCAGGCTACACTGCTTATGGTGCTGACATGGGTTAAACATGTCATTTACTCCCCTTTTGCCTCAATCCATAGGTTGATGTCGTAACCTCTAGTACCTCAGAATGTGACTGTGTTTGGAGGAAGGGACTCTAATTAAGGTTATTAATTGAATCAGTTAAAGTTAAATGAGGTCATTGGAGGATCTTAATCCAATACAACTGGTGTCCTTATAAGAAGAGGAACTGGGGTACAAAGGCACACACTGGGGGAAGAGCTTGTGAAAACTCAGAGAAGAAGCCAAACACAAGCTCAGGAGAGAGGCCGTGACTATGAGACAATAAATTTCTGTTGTTTTAAGCCACTCAGTCTGCGGTAGCAACCTCATATAGAAAGCTCCTAGAATGAGTTCTTTCTTTCCTCTCAGATGTCAGAAGTAAGACCCAAGTTTCTTTTGGTGAAATGCATCCTACAGTATACTCACAACCCCAACAGGAAAGGCCAGCACAGCCAGGATCCAGTCCCGGAGAGAGATGAGCTTCTTCAGCTGTCTCTCTTGCTCTTGGTTCCCACTTCCTCTAGTCAGGAGACTGGAAAGGTCGGTGAGCACACAGACGCCAAAGAAAACAGCCTGGATGACCTGAGAGAGACAACAGCTGTTATTAGCCAATAAGATGTATAGACACCCAAACTTTACAACAGCAAACAAGCCACATATCTGCCACATGACACATACAAGAGGACCAGAAGCACATTGAAAGAGTTGGCCCTGGCCCTGGCCCTCCTTGGTGGTGCAAAAGGTTAGGACGCAGCACTGCAAGCCAGCTGCAGCCGCTTCAGTGTGAGATAGATCCCTGGCCCTGAAGCTGATCCACAGCAGACCTCTCCTTACCCGCCCGCTGCTCCCCTCAGCAGTGTACTTCATCAGTCTGCCTGTTCTGCTCCCCACTCTGCCTCTGGTGAATCCTCTCACCACCCTGAAGCTCTGGCCTGTACACCAGTTCTGTATGCATAAATAAATAATCTTTAAAAGAAACAGTTGGCCCTGCCAAAAAATTGATTAAAAGATATGATGTCTACAACTTGCTATCAAATGTAGCATTGACATTTCTTCTTCCCTGTTTTCTGTGTCTCAAAGTGGAACCCACCCACAGATCTTTTACAGACTCTTCACTGCCAACAAGGAAATTTGCAATGAAATATTTGTGTTATTTTCCAAAGAGCTAATGAGTAAAATTGTATATTTCTGGTTTAAGAAGCCAGGATTCCCGGAATCTACTCATGTTGCTGAATGGGTCATGACTGAGTCCGGGGAATATATAGTTGGCCATTTCCATAATTTACATTGTCATTTGCCTAGATGTAGTACAATGTGCTGCCTACCTCCATTCTTAGGTCTGGATCAATTCTCCCCACTCCACCCTTCCCCCCTCCCGGAATTTCACAAATTATTGATCTATAGTATTTCTGTATTCCTTTTCTGTAATAGTCCAAGTAAAACATAGTTGATGTAAGTAATTCAATTTGTAATTGATATGAGACTGTACAACTGGTAGCTTTTTTAGGAAAATGGTTTTATCTCTCTGCATGGCAGTAATATGCTCAGAGTGTTCATCATTCTGTTCAAACTCTTGTTTAAGGCACTTTGAAAATTCCTAATAATAGTGGTTCTATTACCAGGCTTACTCAAATAAACAAAAGTCCTGCAGTATTTTATATATAATACAATGGGCTCTTTGATGCTACAATCCTGCTGTTACTAGCCAACCTTCACTAGACCAGTGTTCTAATCTTTATTATAAATGAGTCTTTCTTATCTTCAGTGGCTTCAGGTTTGTCAAATCTTTTTACAACTGGAAAAGCCAGAGTAGGAGATGAGAAGACTGACATAACTGTTCCATGGCCCAACTGAAGAGTTGACCAGGAATCATTTCAATGATTCAGAGAATGAAATCATCCTTGGAGAAATTTTCCACAGCATGGCCGAAGGTTTTAGATATTTGATCTTTAGGTCAATCCTAGTGTAGCTGAGACAGAAGAGTAACGAGGCTGGGTAATAAATCCGTGCCAATTTGGTCAAAAAATATATTTAAAATTGCCATACCTATTCAGTCACCAGAGCGATGAAACTTAGGCCATAATGAGAAAGCAGTCATTAAATAGATTCTCACCCATACAATTATTTACAATTTAATTTTGACAGTAACACAGATTATTAGGCTGCAGAACAACCAGAAAACCTATGGTGGGGATGCAAATAGGAACAGCAAAAGTACAACTAGCAATATCCAACAATTTAAAGATACATGTTCCTATTATTCAGTACAATAGGGGTGTTCCTTACAGGAGCCCTCATATATGGTTACTAGTCCCATCCGCATAAAAGTTAATATTGGTATTAATTGCTTTAAAAATGTTGAAACAATCTAAAAGTCTCAATAGTTGAATGGATAAATTGTGTTATGAGATACAACAAAAATCTAAGCATATATCAATTTTTCATACCCACAATAAAACATTATACCAAAAATGGTAACCAAAAAAATGCTACACATTGACATTTAAAAATCAAAAACTGCAAGATAAAGTTAAAGATACATGTATAGGAAGTAAGATAGGAAGAAATGCATGGGAATTGATAGTATTGAATTTAGGTATCTCTACAAGGAAGACAATATTGGAGGAAGAACATGTTTTCTAATAAGTTGGCCACCTGGTATATAGAAGTTTATTAAAAGATCCCTTATATTTCATTAGTATAAAATATTTCCAAATAACTAAAAATGAAAGGTATAAGAGTGGTTTACATACTTTTGGGCTAGAGTTGGCTTTCAATTCCTTTCCTTCCAACTAAGCCTTGTCTATATTTAAAGATTAGTTAAAAACAGTAAGATCTACAGAGCTTCAAAAAGCCTAGTGATTATATTATATATAAAATATCTATAGCATCTTTGTTTAGAGGCAAAAGAAATATAGCCTAGGCTTGGTAATGGTGAAACATAAATTTCTGGAGACCCTTAATTTATTTCAAACAGGCTAGGACATGAGATTACTTGGTAGTGGACCAAGTCCAAGATAAAGTTTCTGATTATTGCTACAGAGACAATTGAATTTACTATCACTATTTAATTTAAAATTCCATAATCAAATAACTAGTACCAGATTTACCTTTCCACAATGAAGAACTAGACACTTGTACTAAATATTATGTAAATTGACTTTTTCAGATATTGAAAACTTTTTTAAAAGATTTATTTATTTATGCACACCGAACTGGGGTACAGGCCAGAGGTGCAGGGGCAGTGAGAGGATTCACAAGAGACAGAGTGGGGAGAAGAACAGGCAGATAGACAAAGTACACTGCTGAGGGAGCAGCAGGCAGGACAGGAGAGGTCTGCCACCTCATGTGGGTCACCTCCAGGGCAGCGATCAAACTGAAGAGGCTTTAGCATCTTAGCTGCGCTTTAACCCACTGTGCCACTAGGGAGGGCCAGATATTGAACTTTTATCTCTGAAACTAATCTAGGATCGATCTCTCTCTCTCTATCTATCTCTCTCTATCTCAAGAAGAATTCACCTGATGAGATCAGGTCCAACCAGGATAATTCTCCTTTGTCAAATAAAAATCATTTTGTAATTCAGCTACCATGATTTGTATGTTAAATAATTCTTAGAGCTTACTCGAAATGGAGAGATTCAAGATCTGAAAAATTATAGATTGTTGACTACAGTGGGTACTGAGTAGAGACCTAGGAAATGTCATACATAACGAATGGTATAAAAATAGCACTGGAAAAAAATGGCTCTAATGCACCCCAACAATTCTTATAAATAAGCCTCAAAAAACTCAAACTTATATATAACTAACTTTGTTACCTGCCTTAAAATATTCTATATTCTGTAAAGGAAGGTAATAAAATACAGACATTCAACAATATCTGACATTACAATGTCCAACATCCAGTCAAAAATTATTGCATATGCCAAGAAATAGGAAAGACTAATCACCAGAAAAACCATCAATAAAAATAAAGAGAAAAAATATATGAGAACATTAAACGATTAAATTAAATAAGTTCAAGAAATTAAATATCAATAAGTTAATAAATAAGCAAAATATATTAAAAAGAACTTAACTGAACATTTAAAAATCAAAAGACATCACTTGAATTTTAAAAGTCACAGAGGAGATAACTGCAGATGAGACACTGCAAAAAAGGTTTTTAAATTGAATAACACAGAAATAGGAAATGTAAGGTGGACTAGAGGAAAAAAATAAAATTGTGAGAGCTTTAGTGAGCTGTGTGAAACATCAAGCAGTTTAACATATACATGTGAGTCTTCAAAAAAGGAACGAAAATGTGCAAAAGTTATTTGACGAAATAATGGCTGAAGTTTTCCAAATTTCATGAAAACTCCAATTCTGCAGATCAAAGAAGTTAAAGAATGGAGTGTGCACAAAGGAAATTAAATCAATCATATTTCAATCAAATTACTGAAATAAGTAAGAAATCCAAAAAGAAAAAAAAAAACAATTATCACAGATTTTTCATGTAAAACCATGCAAACAATGCAAGCCAGAAGTTACAATAGAATGATATTTTTAAAGTCCCCTGTGGTGGAGAAACTATTCAAAAGTGAAAAACTTTTGCAAACAAACAGAAGTTGACAAAGTTCATGGTCAGCAGACTTTCATTACAAGAAATATTAAAAGATTGAGAATACTACACCAGATATAACTTAAATCTATAAAGAATAATGATAACAGCTAAAGACAGCTTATGTGGATAAACATGAAATATTTACATTCATTTTTTTTAATCTTTTAAACATAATTGACTAAAGCAAAGCACTAATAAATTGTGAGGTTTTAAACAGAATTTAGACAAACATTATGTGAACTACTATACAATGGACATGAAGGGAGGAATAGAATCTATGCAACTATTAAGTTCTCACTTTATATGTAAATTGGTATACTATTTGGCAGCAATGGAAGTTAAAGCCTCAAGCAACACTAGAAGAGCTCTTAGCTGATGTGCTATGATCATGATGTGTTATGATGTGATGCATAACAAATCACTAAAAACTTAGCTGCTTAAAAATGTATCAATTTATTTATTCACAGCTTATAGGTCAGATGCCTATGTGGGTTAGTTTGGCTTCTACAGTGAGGGTACCACAACATCAAAACCACAGTGGTGCCCCGGTGAGGTTCATATCCAAAAGTTCAATGAAAATATCTACTTCTAAAGTCAATCTGATTGCTGGTAGAAATCAGGCCCTTGCAACTGTAAGCAACTGTAAGACTGAGGTCCAGGTTTCCTTGTTGGCTGCTGACCAAAGTCACACTCTTAACTCATTGTATCTGCTTTCCAGTTTTTGTACAGGGTGTCTGGCATCTTCAAACCAGCAACAAATCTCAGGCTCAGATCTCTTAACTTTCCTCTCTTTCTTTTCCTGCTTATGCTATCAGCTTGGAAAAGCTTTCTGTCTTTGAAGATTCATGTGATAAAATCAGATCCACATGGTAATGGCCCTTTCTTAAGGTTCACTGCATCATACATCACAATAAAGTCTGAGGCATTATTTTCCATTGATTCACAATGAATCTTGAGGGTCTCAAGATTAGAATGGGAC